CCCCAAAACCCCAAAACCCCAAAACCCCAAAACCCCAAAACCCCAAAACCCCAAAACCCCTAAATCTTTTGACTAAGTTGAACAAGACTACCCAAATATTATTATGTGAAGCTACTCTTTTTTCTCTTCTTCAACTCTTTCCCTTTTATTGTCAAGGTTTTTGCGGAGCATCTGCTCACCTCTTTCGTAATATTTCTTCAAGTTTTCCTGACTGATTTTCTTTAACAATTTCTCTGGGAAGATTCTAAGTAAGTCCCATGCTTTGTCCAGAGATTTGAAAATATTTCTCTTCTCAAGAGGATCTTGTGTCAAGAATTCACCTTCGAATTTATCCAAGAATTCTAAGTAGAGCTTGTCATCATCTGATAGAGCTTCTTCTCCGACAACAGCCTTCATAGCTTGAGTGTCTTTTCCCATAGCATAGAATGCATAGAGCTGATTAGACACTTCTGGGTGGTCCTCTCTTGTGAACTCTTCTCCAATAGCAGACTTCATTAATCTTGACAAAGATGGCAACACATTGATTGGAGGGTAAATATTCTTATTATGCAAGTTTCTATCAATAAAGATCTGTCCCTCTGTGATGTATCCAGTCAGATCTGGGATTGGATGGGTAATATCATCATTAGGCATTGTCAAAATTGGGAGCTGAGTGATTGATCCACTCTTGCCTGCCACTCTTCCTGCTCTTTCGTAGATGGTAGAGAGATCGGTGTACATGTATCCTGGGTATCCTCTTCTCCCGGGTACTTCTTCTCTAGCAGCTGAGATCTCTCTCAAAGCATCAGCGTATGAGGAGATATCAGTCAAGATTACCAATACATGCAAGTCACATTCATAAGCAAGGTACTCAGCAGTGGTGAGAGCAAGTCTTGGAGTAATGATTCTCTCAATAGTAGGATCATTAGCAAGATTCATGAATAAGACGACACGATCCATTGATCCATAGACTTCGAAGTCAGTCTTGAAGTATCTGGCAGTCTCCATGTTGACTCCCATAGCACCGAACACAATTGAGAAATTTTCCTCTGATTTATCGTGTACATCTTTACCTTCTTTATTAACCAAAGAAGCTTGACGGCAGATTTGAGCTCCGATTTCATTATGTGGAAGACCAGCAGCAGAGAAGAGAGGAATCTTCTGTCCTCTAGCAATTGAGTTCATGACATCAATAGCAGAAATACCAGTCTCAATCATTTCTTGTGGATATACTCTCTGGAATGGGTTAATTGGTTGACCATTAATATCCAAGAATTTCTCAGCCAAAACAGGAGGTCCACTGTCGATGGGAACTCCTGATCCATTGAATGATCTACCAAGCATTTCAATACTAATTGGCATCTTCAGGACGTCACCAGTGAATTCAATGTGGGTATTGATGTTATCAATTCCTTGAGTTCCTTCAAAAATCTGGACAACTGCTCTCTTACCCATAATTTCCAAGACTTGTCCTTTTCTTATCGATCCATCTCCCAAACGAACATTGACGATCTCAGCGTACTTAGGAAATTTGACGTTATCTAGGATAACGAGGGGTCCTTCGACATCTAAGATAGTTCTGTAGTCGACTCTTGGAGTGATTCTATAATCGTCGAACTCTGATGTGATTTCAGACATATTATATCTATTAATTTGCAAAGATTTATTATTTATTTGCCTATCAACATTCATAGACTCATCAGGGGTTTTGGGGTTTTGGGGTTTTGGGGTTTTGGGGTTTTGGGGTTTTGGGGTTTTGGGG